CAGGACCCCCTGAGCAGCCTGGAGCAGGAGCTGGCCCTGCAGCTGCAGATCGCAGAGGCCTCGAGGCGCCTGAGCCGCGAGGAGAAGCTGAGCCGCCAGGCCCGGCGGCAGCGGAAGCACGCCATGCTGCGGGAGGAGGAGAAGCTGCGGGCGCTGGAGCGCTGCCTGGGCGAGCAGCGGCGCCACCGAAGCTCCCTCCCCACCGCCGGCCTGCCCCTGGGCCGAGGTACGTCTGTGTCCCGGTCCTTGGTCTCTTTGAGCTCCGGCGGGACGCGGGGCGGTCACCACTGCGCTGGTCTTCGCTGAGCTGGGCCTGCGTGCACCCCAAGATGACCCTCTGCCACCCACAAGCCTCAGGGGGACCCTGTCATCAGCTCCTTAGAGAGCATTCCCCTCCCTCTGTATACGTTTCTAAACCCACTGCCCCCCACCCTGAAAACTTGGACAGAAGGCGGCCCCTGGGCTGGCCTCGAGCTCATTCCGAGGGTTCCTCACCCGCAGGTGTCGGGTCACCTGCATGCCCTCTGGGCCCTCAGGGAGACGCCTTATCTGGTCAGGTCCTGTGAGCCGAGGCAGATGCCCCCGGCCTGAGAGAGGCCGCCCAGGGCCTGCATTGCTCTGCAGAGCCGCCCACTGCATGGTTTTGGGCTGTTCAGATTGAAATCAGCCCGGCCAGTGCCCCGACCCCAACCCCTTTTCTAGAACCATCTGGCCAACAGTGCATCCCTTCCCCTTGTCCAGCGTGTCCCCGAGCCCCATGGCCTAGGGGCCAGTGATTGTGGGGCACCTGGGGAGTTGCCTGGGCCCAGGAGCAGCCATCAGTTGTATTGATGAGGCCACCTGGGTTACCTTCCAATATGTGGGTCTGGGACCTCGGGTGTGACTGCCCCTCCCCACCCCCCAACCCAAACCCAGCTTGTTGGGTTCAATTCACAGACCTCCCTGACAAGGGCGTCATGCCCTTGGTGGCCCCTCCCCCTGGCCTCTCATGGGTTCCAGACCTCCCTTAGGTGAGGGGACTGGAGGAGGGGTTGGCGGTGGCCCTGGGGCAGAATTGGATTCTAGGCCTGGTAGGGGTGAGAGATTGTCAGCTGCTCCTACCCCTCAGGCTCCTACCCCTGGCCCCCCTGCTTGAGGACTGGCTCTTTGGCGAAGCTCTCCAGGCTGGGACCTTGTGTGGAGCCTGAAAGCTCTTCCTGGTCCCCTGTATGGTGGCCCGTGCCTGGGGGGGTGACAATCACAGTGCAGGTCTCAGGAGTCCCCGCACCCCCATGGCATCTCTGGTTTAGGGTAGGAAGGGTGTGACCGGACACCTCCTAGGTCACCTCCAGCAGCCAGGAGCAGAGGCCGTGGGAGGAGGCTGACCCAGTAGACACAGGAGATGGGCAGTGGCCCAGGCTCAGGTGGTCAGACCTCTCTGTTTCGAAGGGCTCTGGCCGGCACAAGGACACTGCTGACTCCAGGGCTCCCTCCACTCCCACCAGGAACCCCAGGACTTGATGGCCTCCCACAGGCACTACAGAGTCCAGCATGACAGTCCCTAAGGGTGCCCTGCTCTGAGCAGGCAGGAGCCCCGGGGAGGGAGAAGGCCTGTCCCGGTTTGGCTCGGCCCCTCCTGGGTCCTCAGCAGCCTCCCTCCCACAGGTCCATGGTTGCTGGGGTGGTGGAGGGTTTGGGGGTGTCCCTCAGCTGCCACCATGGACACCGATGCTGCTGCTGGTTGGGAGTGGGAAGCAGGCCGGACATGCCCGGGGCTCTGGCTAACGCTGTGGGAGAGGCAAGAGGTTCTAGAACCTTCTCGGGCTACAGAGGAGAAATGGGCGGAGAGACTGATTGACCTCGGTGACCCAGGCGAGAAGGGCCCGCAGCACACACCTCCCCTCCGGGTCAGGGGCACCCAGGGTGCCTGCTCTCCTGGGAGGAGGGGGTAGAGAGGGGCTAGGAATTAGGAACTTGAAAGGTGTTTTGAATGAGGAAACAGATAAACCAAAAAAGAAAATAGCCACCCCGTGCCCTTGGCGGCTTTATAACACCCACCTGGGGCCGTGATTAAGCAGGGAGACAGGTGAGAGTAATTAGTGCTCTGCAGGAGGCGGGGAACTAATTGACCGCGGTGACCCAGGCGAGAGCGGCNGCTTTATAACACCCACCTGGGGCCGTGATTAAGCAGGGAGACAGGTGAGAGTAATTAGTGCTCTGCAGGAGGCGGGGAACTAATTGACCGCAGTGACCCAGGCGCGAGNAAAATAGCCACCCCGTGCCCTTGGAGGCTTTATAACACCCACCTGGGGCCGTGATTAAGCAGGGAGACAGGTGAGAGTAATTAGTGCTCTGCAGGAGGCGGGGAACTAATTGACCGCGGTGACCCAGGCGAGAGCGGCCGGCCGCAGCGCACACCTGGTACCAATAGCGCGGCCTCTGGACGTGGTCTCTATCTGCACCGTCCAACGTGGTGGCCACAGGCCACGTGGGGCTCGGGCACGTGAGAGGTGCCACGTGTCACCAAGGAACTGAGCTTATTTGATTTCACTTGAATTAAAATAGCAACACATGGCTTGTGGCTGCCGTGTTAGTGTGCAGTCCCAGAGTTTCTTCAGCCTGACATTTGCGAAAAATAGGAACCTTTATTCTCTGGATTTTTGTAAAAGAGCGGAGGCTGGGGACCAGGATTCAGTAAGAGGGTGTCTCCTCCGTTGAAACCAGAGCAAAGGCCTGCCGAGGGGAGTGTGGGCCTTTCCGGCCCTCCCCCCTTGCCAGGAAACCAACCGCAGAAAGCCCTGGCTTTTTCTGACAGATGGGGAAACTGAGGCCTGCAGCGTTGAAACGACTTATTCATGGTTACAGAACTAACAGTAGAACCAGGATGAAAATCTGGCTTTTTTTTTTTTCCATTTCCAAGGGATAAATTCACGCCCAGTACAATGTTGAGCACACAGCTGGCATTTCCTGATAAGGCTCCCTTGGGGGGGGCAGGGCCGGGCCGGGCCTGGGCTGCTCCTGATGTACGTGTGTTGGGTTCCTCACCTCTTTCCCCCCTTTGCTCTCCCAGATCTCAGTGCCTCCGATGACAGCTCCCTGTCCGATGGGCTGCTCCTGGAGGAAGGTGAGAGGGGCCGTGTAGGGCGACTGTTAGGGCCAAGCCCCTTGGGGCTCTGGCAGAGTCTATTGGTGAGGACTTCAGGGAACGTGGGGACGTGCTGGCCCCTTTCAGATCCAGATGCTCAATCATTTTGACAGGAAAGGGAAGGGTGGGTGTCTGCCGAACCCCAGGCCTCCCCACCTCTGTCCTGCACCTTTCTTTTGATATGCACCTGCCAGAGCCAAAGAGCCCTCTGGCCACAGTCGCTGCTCTTAGTGAGAAGAGGGTTACAGGAAACAGAAGTCCTAGATTGAGAACCCTGGTTACAAACCCCAAGGATGCTGGGGGTTCAAGGTGACCAAGAAGGTGTGCAGCCCTGCCCAGGGGAGTGCCAAAGCCAATAAGGAAACAGCGCACGTGGGCACGGCGGGAGCAAGAAAAACAGGTAGACGGTTCCCTGCACACACGGCACTGGGAGCAAAGGTTAGACGTGGAGCGATGTGAGCCAAGGAGAGTCAATCTAGGAAGGCTTCTTGAAGGAGGCCGGTTGAGAATACGGCTGTGAGGGAGGGGTTAAGCCTCAAAGGAAAAAAGTAATTTTTTTAAAACCTTTTTTTTTTTTTAAAAATATATCTTTATTGATTTCAGAGAGAGGAAGGGAGAGGGAGAGAGAAACATCAATGATGAGTCATTGATCGGCTGCCACCTGCAACCCCCCCACTGGGGATGGAGCCCACAACCCGGGCATGTGCCCTGACCTGGAATTGAACCGTGACCTCCTGGTTCATAGGTCAATGCTCAACTGCTGAGCCACGCCGGCTGGGTAGAAGTCACTTATTTTTAATTTTTAAATATTTTAATGGTCTCATAACTCTTTAATCCATGTATAGTGTGTGTGTGTGTGAAACAAGATGAGGCTATAAATTGGCACTTTATTTTTTTAATGTATCTTTATTGTTGAAAGTATTACAGATGCCCCCCTTTTTCCCCCATTGACTCCCTGCACCCCAAGAAGTCACTTTTGAATGTCTGGGCCTAGGGCCATGGCCAGGCACGGCC